TTTCTTATTCAGGGGGATAGTTTATTTTATTTCTTGACCACTATGATGGTTAAACTAATCTTCCTGACTTCAAAATGGCAGGATAAAGACGTTTCTAGCCTTTTTCTGCTAAAATTTACAAGCAAACAGCACAAAACACAAGAAGCAGAAAAAGAAAATCTAACACAAGGAAACCAGAATTGAATCCACAAACCCCAAACCACAATGAATAAGAACTAGAACAAAAGATATAATGGTAAATGATTCAACAGAAAAATAGTATGCTTCACAGAGAAGGAGTTGAGTAGAATTTGAGGTTGACACTCAGCAAGTGGAGACACAGTTGAAAGATACTGTGCCTGGGTGAATGACTTGATGTCTACTGGGATGTTTGTTTTAATTAGGGTAAGGAACACTGGGAATTAGGAATGAAGGGTCCCAAATCCCAAGTCACAAAAACAAATCCCTTTCACAATAGTAGGGGATAGTTCTCTGAGAAGCTTAACTAAAAATGTTCTGGATTTTGGGATATGAGGCCTGGAGGAGGATTAGGAACAATGACAACAGGAGATGGTGATTAAAGAAATGAAAGAAATGAGACTCCAGATTAAAAACCCATTAGGTGTCTGAACTGGGGTTATGGCTCAGTGGCAGAGTGCTTACTTCACATATGAAACACTGGGTTCGATTCCCCAGCACCACATAAAAACAAGTAAGCAAGGGCTGGGGTTGTGGCTCAGTGGTAGAGCGCTTGCCTAGCATGTATGAGGCACTGGGTTAGATTCTCAGCACCACATAAAAATAAATAAAATATAGGTCCATTGAAACTAAGAAATACTTTTTTAAAAAAGTAAACAAAATAAAGATATTATGTCCATCAGTAACTAAAAATTAACAACCAATTAAAAAAAACAGAAAAAGAAAACTAAAAAAAAAATTAAATTAAAAAAAAACCCATTAGGTGTTCAACATAATAAATGAAAAAAAGATTCACATCAAATTTTATCATTGTAAAACTTCAGAACATTAGGGATGGAGATCCTAAAAGGTTCCAGAGGGCAAAAAAGAAATAGATCATATGCAAAGGATCAATCATCAGAATGACCTTGTATTTTTAGGAAAAAATTTGAAAATAGAAAGACATTACTTATTCTCTGACCATAATTATTTTTATAGAAATTATTTTCAACCTAAAACTTTATATTCAGCCAACTTATCAATCAAGAATAAGTAGCAAAGAATAAGTGGCAAAAGCATTTCAGACAAAGACTCACATATATGCTTTCTCAGAAAGCTGCCAGAGGATATATTCTAGCAAATGAGGAAGTAAGCTAAGAAGGAGAAAGAATGGGAACCAGGAAACAGGGCAGGGTTAAAGGGAATTCCCAGGATGTCATCAGGGGAAGCATCAGGCACCCAATTGTACCACAGGCCTTGAAGGCTACTAGATCAGACTGGAGGAAGAGAGCAAGGCTCTGAGACTATTTGTATAAGGGGATGAAATTGGCAAGAAAATATCAGAATGTATAAATTATCTGATAGATTTGGTCTTGGGGAAAACTATAGAGAGAAATTTTACAGGGTTCTTATGCAGTTTAGAAAAACAGAGTAATCTCATTACTAAGCAAATGAAAGAAAATTAATGATTAACTCCAGGAAAAACAAAGTTGCACAAGAATGGAACTATAATCACAGTGTTCTGCTTAGTTTAGCAGTGAACACTATGTCAATAATGAAAACATAGAATACAATTTACAATTTGAGATGTAATTGTATTGGGAAAAGGGAGTTTAAATAACAAAATCTTCATTGATTATCATAGCAAGACAATTGGTAATGTCAAAATTTGATGAGCTGACAGCAATATAGTTATCCTTCCATATCTATCTGTTCTAAATCCACAATTCAATATGTTTCAGATTAGAAAAAAACATTTAAATAAATCTGAGAGCTTGGGGTATAGCTCAGAGGTAGAGCACTTGCCTACCATGCATGAGGCCCTGGGTTTGATCCCCAGCACTTAAAAAAAAAAAAAAAAAAAAAACTCCTTTGAACATGTACAGTTTTTCTTTTATCCTTTTTCCCTAAATAATACAGTATAACAACTATTTGCATAGCATTTATATCGTATTAGGTATTAAAAGTAACCTAAGATGATATAAAGTACATAAGACAATATGTGCAAGGTATACAAATACTACACCACTTTATATAAGGGACTTGAGCATCAACAGATTTTGGTTAAGGGAGGGTGTCCTGGAATTTTCCAAGGATACCAAAGGATACCATATGAACATTATTAACAAATGAGAAAGTAAGTTCCAGAATAAATATCCACAACAGTTTAATATTATTACCTCTGGAGAGCACAACAAGGTTGGAAGAAGGTGGTGAGATGAGCTTGTTAGTTTTTTCTTATGACAAGCTTTTTAGCATCATTGACTCTTTAAAGGTATTATCCTATAATATTTGCATTAAAATTAAAATGTTATTTTCAAAAAAATTAATTTATTCCTTACCATATCTAAAAGGCTTAGAAGTATAATTTGTACTCTTTTAAGGTTGACTTCACAATACAACTCTGAGCTTTATTAATTTGTCTTCTTTATCAGCCTCCTCCAGATTTGGGGTTCCTATCAGGCCACAGATGTATTCTTAAGAGCTACAGTTTTGTACGTTTGTATTTATTGGAATTATAATTTAAATTTTATGAGCTTATTCTACATCATCTGAGTAGCTGCCATTTTGGTCGTACTCTGTTCAGGTTACTATAACAAAAATACCATGAGCAGGATGATTTATGAGCAATGGAAAATTATTTCTCGTAGTTCTAGAATCTGGGAAGTCCAAGGTCAAGGTGCAGGCAAATATAATGTCTGGTGGGGGCCCACTTCCTCATAGATAGCCATCTTCTCACTGCAATCTCAGATGGGAGAAGAGGTGAGGGTTTGCTCTCTGAAGTTTTTTTTGTTTTGTTTTGTTTTTAGTTCTCTGACTTTTTTTTTATAAAAGCACTGATCCCTGTCATGAGGGCTTCAGTGAATTAGCCTTTGACCACCTCCCAAAGGACTCACCTCCTAATAGCATGACCTTGGGGAGACAAAAACATTCAGATGATAGCTAGTAGTAATTATATATTAGTGTCAATGAAGTCCAAATGATGATGACAAGTCATATGAATAAAACTTATGTAATCATTTAAATGGACTGGATTTTTAAAATTCCTTTTATTGCTATGACAATTTGCCAGAAATTTAGTGGCTTTAAAGCAAAACTCCAAAGGACTAGCAGTCATTACCATATTCACATTTGAAGTAGCAATTTGGGTTTAACAAAACATTATCTGTCATATAAAAGTAATTATGTCCATTTGAATCATAGTTTTGGTTTCATAGGGTTTTTAAACAATATGCATTTAAAAATACATATCATATAATAACTATAAGCACAAGAAGGGTATACCTGTTTTCATATTAGTACATATTGGTACAAATAATAATAATTTAATTCAATCACAGTCAGACATTAATCCTTTAAATTAATTTCAATATTATTTGTTATTTTGCTAAAATAATCTGTACATTACTTAAATTTGAGAAGCACTGGCTTATTATTTGTGTTTGTGTAGAGATCTGATTGGGTCAGTTGCCACAATTCCCTATGGAATGCCTCCACTTTGTGGTGCTCACAAGTACTCATTAACTTAGAAGGAAGTACTTTCTCCTTTAATCAATTTTAATTTACCAGTTTTATTATCAAATAATGTAGTAAGCAGCCTTGTTGTCATCACCATTGCAATTTCTTTATCTTAACCTCTGTTTATTAAGTGCATTCATCCATATAAAAAACTTGTGTCTCCCCTCATCTTAGAGAAGAAATAGGAAAAGTTTGAGAGTAGGATTTTTAAAACTCCTTTTATTGCTATGACAATTTGCCAGAAATTTAGTGGCTTTAAAGCAAAAAAAAAATTATTATTTTATACTTTCTAGAGGTCCAAAATCTAAACAATTTCTGTCAGCAGGATTGCCCACCTCTGGAGGGTCTAGGAGAGAATGCATTTCCTTGCCTTTTCCCACATTTGATTCTGACCCTCCTTAACTTATGAGGATATTGTGATTATAGTGGGCTTACCCAGACAACTCTGGATAATACTCTCATCTCAAGATCATTAATCATATCTGCAAAGGCCTTTTGCCATGTATTGTAACAATTACAGGTTGCAGAGATTAGGACATGGACGTCTCTGTGGTGGCATTATTCTGCCCTACTACAAGGGACATTACTGTACCCACACTATCCATCCCCAGAGCATAAACTCTTGATGGAGGCTTTGGAAAACAGTGGAAAACACATTCTCCAGAAACAGAAAGAAAAGCAGGGTAGACACAAATTAAGAGAAAGCCATTGTATGTTGGTGGGGAGGACAGTCATTTTCTGAGGAAGCATAAGTAACATTGATTGCTTGAAAAGTGTGGAAAATCTGCTATAGAGGGTGAAAGCAATCCACCATCAAGGAGCACATGGTGGAATGCTTCTCTTAGAATTCATCTGAAATGGGAACACAGTCACCAGAGGAAGATCTGAGATCGTTCCAATTTCCATGCACATCAAAGTTACACAAAACTCGGGGCCAAAACAGCCATCTAAATTTTTATTTCAAACTCTGCAAATATACCACTGACACCAGAATTCAGGTGGCTCTGACACTTCCTTTTTATTATGCCACTGTTTTTCTTTCTCCATGATTCTGTAAGAAACCTGACACTAATTAGGCTAACCCAAGAAGGAAAAAAAAAAATGATGACTCATAAACCACACTGGAGATAAACCAAGAAATAAGAAAAATTGATCTCTATTCAAAAGAATGACAATGGTGAAAAACTGCACTCATCAGGGGGCTAAGCAGGATTTGAATTTTTAAAAGAACAAAACATGGAGAGTCTGATAAGGTCTACCAGCTGCTCGTATTCTCTCTTACTATGTCATATGATGTTCATGTTCCCTGCCCCACCCCCTCCTGCTGCCTCCTTGTGCTTGTGGGCTGTGTGTGTTTATATGTGTGTGTGTGTGTGTGTGTGTGTGGTTTCTCTCAGCCTTGTAAGAATGCCACCCGCCTGCCTGCTCCTGCTGTTGCTGCGGCTCTGACTTGCTTTTTTGCTCCCTCTTTCCTCTCTCTTCTCTTCCTGCTTAGCTCCTTGCCTTCTGGTAAGTGTGACAAACACTCCCCCAGGCCCTGTGAGAAGATAGATGAGGGTGCGGTTTGTGGTGTTCCAAACTTGCAGCTTTGAGACTGCCAGTGAACTGTTGAAGAACTTTCCATTGTTGTATTTGAATAATTAAAATGTGTGGCTCAGGAAGGCATGGTGTGTGGGATAGTTTGCTGGGACTGCCTGTACAAGTGAAAAATTCTCAGAGGAGGGTGGGAGCCCATAAAGTTCATAGAAGATAAAATTTAGAAATAATTTCTTTGTTGTAAAATACATTACTATAAAAATGATCATTTAAAAGTAATAAAATTTTTTGACTATGTTTTCACAAAGGCCTCTTTAGGGATTAAGTTGTCCTGTAGCTTACAATGACTCAAGTATTCTGTTTTAAAATACATATGGAATAGGAGTTTAAAGTTAAATATCCACAGAACTAAGTATTAAAAACCTCAACGACTATGGTATCTGGTAAATGAATAAATCAAATACAAACAAAACACTTGCATGTAGTCTAATCACAGTAAAATTATATGGACAGAGTTTTAAAGTAATTGCCTTAAACTTTGATTTGGTTTATTTTAGATTTATCTCATCCTAGAATAATCTCTCCAACACTTGAAATGCCACATATGGCTTTAAACTAGCAAATGTTTACTATTTCAATTGATTTAAAATTATTTTCTTGGGTTTCAAGGATGAATTGCTAAATGCCATGATTCATTTTTAGAAGAACTTAAAATAGCTCTGGCTGGACAGCAGGTGCTATGTGTATCTCTCCAAGATTAGGAGGCACAAGTTATATATAGATGAATGTGCATCCTAAGTGGAGGTCAGGATAAAAAAAAAATCCAGTGACAAGACAATGAAGCTGTTGGCTGCATAATTTGATAATCAAGTTGATGAATTAAATTGGTGAACTTGCTTCCTTCTAAGTTAATGTGTATTTGGTGAGAGCCATAGGTGGGTGGTAATGTCTGTACACTGAAATTTCCCCTCCCATTGTCATCCAAGCATTTGATGTCTACTCACCTAAGAATAGGAGAAGGAAGCTGTGCTGTTTAGAGAATAGTATGTTTTTGTTTTTATTTTCTTGCCAACAGAATAGCAAAACTTGTGAATTGTGAGAATCTTGCCATAGTTTTATACTGCTAATTATCATCTTCATTATTAAATATTATTTACAAATAAAAAACACCACAGCTTAAAGGACTAAGTTAAATTTATTACAACCCTAAAAATAATAGTGGCCAGAATCTTTAGAATCTTCAGCCCACTCTTTCATGCCTGTTCCCGAACAGCCCATATTATATCTAAATTATTTTTCCAGTTCATCTCTTCCTTGTTTATCATGCACTGCTATTTCTTTAAAAATATTACATTTTCCTAGAGCTTCGTGACTTAGTAAATAATGATTTATTTTCTTCTTTAAAAAAAAAGTCAAATTTTTAGAGTGGAATAAGAGGAAATTGCAGAAATGTAAGAAATTAACAATATAGGCATTATTATGTTTCCATATTATTTGGTTTAGGTATACCTTCCCTCGTTCCCTGTCTTATTCCAAAAGCAATGCTAGTTTGATCCTCCAAAAGTGTTTTGTTGATTGATAACTGCATGCTGCTCATCTGGGAAAAAGCATATACTAGAAAACCAAGAAATATCTCCTATAGTAGCATAGTGATGCATTTACATCAAAGCATACTAATCAAATCTTGACTTACAAATCAAAATAGAGTTTAAGGATATTATTATTATGAATGATTTTAATAAGAACAATGGCTCTTGACAATTTTAAGTTTGAAGGAAAACATATATATCCTGTATCTTCAATGATTGTAACTCTATACAGAATTATATAAGAAAATCATGATACAAATTTGCCTAAGCAAAATGTCAAATAATACAAAAATCAACAGCACAAATTAATCAGTTAATATCAATAATAAGGGATGCTATAGAAAACAAAAAATATGTGGGTAATGTAACTTGATTTGAAAAAGGGCTTCCCATTGTTTCTACTTTACTAATTGTGATATCAATAGTTTATTAAAGTACAGTCATTAAATCTTAGAAAACATATTAATTGGTACCTATTTGGGAAGTATCCTGCCCATTAATATGTAACTGGATTAATAAGTAAAACCTAACTGTCCTTACCACTAGACACTACTTCCAGTATGGAGACTAATCACTCTGAACAGCTCTCAACTGAAGAGTCAATTCTGCCAGGAGACAGTTCATCATCACCTAATCAAAATGGCCTGGGGAAGCAAAATGGTCAGGATTCCTCAACCTCGCTCCAAGAACCAGAGCAGGCAACAAGTGTGCACCCTGTAAAGGGAGCTCAGGATATCTCCGAAGAGTTGAATCGACAACTGGAAGACATTATTAACTTGTATGGATCTGCTGCCAGTACAATAGGAAAAGAAGGCTCTGCCAAAACACAGGAGCAGCCTGAAAATGCAGAGGCACCTGACAATGAGGATGGGGACTGTGAGGAAACCAATGAAGAGGCCGAAAGAGAACCCCTTGCTTCTGAAGAACCATCCATAGTCAAAGAACCTGTTGGCAATAAAGAGCAAAAATTGGAAAAGAAAATCCTAAAAGGATTAGGCAAGTACTTATTTTCTAATACATGACTTTTTTTTATTCCTAAAACAGGGTACTTCCTCCAACCTTTATTAAAAGCCACATCTCATATTTGGATTACCAGAATACCTTCCATCAGAGTTTCCTAAAGTTTCTAGTCACTTCCCTTCAATAGAGCACAAGTAAATTTTCAACACATTACAGATCTACTCTCTGTCTCAATGGCTTCCTGTTGCTTGCAGGGAGAAAACCAAAATTTATAACAGATTTTTTTGAGGCCCTAATTGTCTAACCCCAAGCAGTCCCAGCTTTACCTCACAGACCTCTGCTCCTCTTCAGCATCCTCTACCTGAATATTGTGACCCTGTTACCACTCTCCCTGCAATCATTCTGATCTTCTCTTTCAAAGAATTGAATGCCATGTTCTATTCCCCAAGGGACTGTACATTTCCCAATTTTATTTACCTAAAAATCTCTACACATTCCTCACTGCCACCCCAATTCAGCCATTTGGGCACTTGACTCGTACTCATCATTCAATTCACCACTAAAATGGCATTTCCTTAGCCAAACACTAGATAATTCTTAACTGTTTTGGGTCTTTACAGTACTATGTATCTTTCCATCATAGCTTTCATCGGTATTTGAAATGATTTTTTAAATTATCTGCTTAATGTATTTCCTCCTTACTAGATCTTTGTCTCAAAAGCAGTGTCTCAAGAGGGTGTATGTGTATTTGATGTCACTGGATGCATATTCCATAGAACAGAGGATGACACATTTTAAGTTCAATAGATATTTGTTATAAGAATGAATGAATGAATGAATGAGAAAGAAATTGTTTAAAGCAAAACTAGTGGAGTCTAGATATAAGCAAAATATTAAAATATAGATAGGTTTGTATATACAATGAGTGTCAATTAGATCACTTAGTAGTATGTGTTCCATTATTATATAAAATATTTCTCACTGCATAGAATTCACCAGAAATGTTATCAATTGCATTTGTCAACAACTGCAGAAAATATATACTTGAACTCTTATTAATTCTTTTGTTCAATGAATATTTATTTCTTAATGCCTGGTCTTTATGAGGCACAGTGAGAGGTACACAAAAATATATAAGCCATGGACTTTTAGTCAAGGATATTTAGGTATAGAGAGGAAAGCAGACATGTAGACTAATTGTTACATAGGAGAAGTGCAAAATCAGGGAAAGGAAATATTTTTTGAAGAGCACAAAGGATTGATAGTACCTAAGATAGCTGTGAAAGAAGAATAAGAATGCTAATTTTATAGCTATGTACTGAAAGAATGTTACTGCACATGGAAAGTCCCTCTTCCTGTCTTCCCTGGAACACTTCCTACAAATGCCACCTCTTATGCCGTGCCCAGGTAGAATTAGCCTCACTTTCCTTAATTTACCACTAATCTGCAGCAATTATTTGCTTATTTTTTTTTAAAAGAGAGAGAGAGAGAATTTTTTAATATTTATTTTTTAGTTTTCAGCGGACACAACATCTTTGTTTTTGTATGTGATGCTGAGGATCAAACCCGGGACACACGCATGCCAGGCGAGCATGCTACTGCTTGAGCCACATCCCCAGCCCCAATTATTTGCTTATATATCTGCCTTCTATACTAGATGGATAACCTATCAATAAAAGTGATGACATCTTATTCATTTCTAGAAGATAGTGTGTACAGAGTAAAAGGATACAGACACTGGAGTTAGAAATGGGTTCAAACTCCAATAACAAATTATTATCTGCAAACTTAAAAGTAAATCTCCATTGCAGTGGGATCTCCTTGATGATTGAACTCATTGTTGTAAAGCTTTCAAGAAATGCTAAAAGATACATTCTAATGACAGACTTAATCCACTCACCATAAAGATGAAAAGTATCCAGAAAAATACCAAAGAAAAAGAAACAAACAAACAAACAAACAAAAAGATTCCCCATTATATGGTACTATGTTAAAGTTTCCACAAGTGTCTTGTTAATATCTAAAGTATCCCCCATTCTTCCTCACCCCACCCTTCAGGGTCATAGTGATTTAGTAATCATTTCTTTGACAACCTTACATGGACTGCAAAAGTACCACAAAATAATAAGATTAAGACAATCATAATATATAATATACCTTCTAATACTTTGGTTATAACTGACTGACTAGGAAGTCATAGATTTGAAGTATAAACCTGGGAGAAAAACAAAGCTGATACACAGGTCCATTCTGAGCTCAGAATCCATCTAGTCAACAAATTTTATACACAGGGAAATTAAAATGCAGAGAGTTTAAGAGTCTGACAAAAAAAAAAGTTACTCTAGGACTAAACTCAGAATCCACTGAGTTAACCCACTAATCTTATAAACAAGAAAATTGAGGGTATAAAAAATGCAAAGAAAGGTTGCTCAACAATGACAGAGTCAGTTTTAGAACTCATGTCTCCTCTTTTTAGTCCAGTGTGAATTTAACTAGATTATCCTTCCTATTCTCTAGTTATATGAAGCTTATTTCCTTGAAAAGATATGCATAGATGCTCAGTAATTATTTGTCTTACATATGTTATTTTAAAAATTATATTATTAGGGACAATTAATATTGAAATGTTAATTTGGGTCTAACATTGAAAGAATGTTTATAATATTACTGTTGTAAGTTTTGATCACAACATATGGAAACCAGGAAGAGGATACAAAGGCACACAAATATGTATTTAAGACAAAATTTTGGTCCCAAAGATCAAAAAAATAATTTTGGAAAAGACAAAACATAGTTTTGGAAGTTTGAATACATCAAATCTACATAAGTTGTCCACTATATTTAGTATAAACAATCATTACTATGCTAGAAGTTCAGGAAAAATTCTGACCCACATTGCTACAGCTGGTTCAGTTGTCTTAATTTAAGATTTTTAATTTCTTTGATGTGAAAATAATACCTTCAGATTCCAGTACAACTGTGCCAGTGACCACAGCCACATGTGACACTCTAGCTGCACAGGTGGTTCAACTTTCATGTAGACTTCTATCCAACCTAGCATTTTCTTTGTTAGGATTTTCCTGCTCTTTAATTTTAATTTTTATGTTTCCTCTTGGTGCATATTAATTACATAGAATAGTGGGTTTTATTGTGGCAAAACAGAGCCTTTTGCAGTGTGGTAGCCATATGCCTTCCCCAGCTGTAATGGGGAAGAAGTAAAGCTTGCTGTGGAATGACACATCAAAGAGGAGGCAGGTGATCCCCCTCCTGATACGATGTTTCACAGTCAAGTCAGTTGTTTTTGCCCTGTATCTAACTGTGTCAGCAAATGACCCTGTTTCCATGGGAATGTAATTATAGCTTTTCTTAGAGGATAAGCAGTTCTCTAGCTATTCCCCTCTTCCTCAAACAAAAGCCTAGTCAAACAAAAACAATTCAAGTTTAAAACCTAAAGTCTCTGATGTCACAAATTTATAAATTGGACACATACTCTATCTCAAATTTGTTGAATTTTTTGTTTTGTTAAAGGTGTATTTGTTTTTTCAAAGGTGTATTGATATATCTGAATGTTAACCTTCTATACAAAATAATGACTTTTAGAGCAGAAAGGACCTTAATGAATACAAAGGTTAAATAAACAATATTAACAATAGACTGTCTGTACAGCTACTGAAAACAAAACCTAAGGAGAGAGATTCTTAATTGGGGAGACAGAACCATTGGACTCACTCAATTGTTTCTAACTCCACCAAATAAAACAAGTAATGATTTCATATGTCAGTACTCAAAATGAGAGGTGTCCCAGCATACACTGAAAGTCACAGGTGAGAATAAGACCTGTCTTTCCTCTAGTTGTAGTATTCACATGATACCAGTGTGAGATAGTTGGCTTTGTTTTATCCTATTATTATCAATGTTTACTGAGCACTTGCCATTGGCCAAACACTGCTAGGCCTGATCCACTGTAATCACTTGCCTTTAATGAGTAACAATAACCCGGAGAGTAGTTGTTCAATTTCCTGGTCTCAAGTCAAGGTGCAGATCATCCCAGATGCTAGAGGAGTAACTGAAATCATGCATCCAGTAAGGGTGAGGCAGCAGTGACTATCAATTGCAAAGGAAAGCATCATGCCACAGGCTATAAATGAGGAGATGAGAGGCCCCACTCACGCACACCTTCTCCCTTGTCTTAGGCTGTGTCTCTAATCTGAATTATTTCACTGGGCAAAGACAGATAAAACCTAATGGCTGGGAATGAGGTCATTTTTCTTTATTTCAAAAGAATTTTCTTTTATTTCTCTGGGTTTCCCTAGAATCCAAATTCCCCATTGCAGTACAGTGAGTGATTTAGAACAAGAAGAGTAACCTTGGATTCAAGCCTTGGTCATGCCAGCACTAATTATATAACTTTGGTTTTTTTTTTTCTGAGTCTTAGATACTTTATCTGTAAAAGTAAACCAGTTAGTCTGGATAGTCTATGAAGTTTCTTCTAGACCTAAAATTCTTAAATTTCATGTAAGGTTGCCAGATTAAGTAAATAAAAATAAAATATGCCCAGTAAACTTTGAATTTCAGGTTAACAATTAATAATTTTTTAGTACATATTCCATGCCCATAGTTCCTCTAGGCAACCCTAATTCCATCACACATTTGCCTGTCCGGTATGGAAGCAGATATTCTAGCCAAGATGAAATGTCGGTTCTTGAGGAATAGGTTGTCAAAATTGGTTAACATTCTAGTGTGAATTTGTGTCAGAAAACATGGGCTCTATTGGATGGTTTGACCACCCCACTTTGAAAACCCTGAGAATCCCTGTTAAATAATCATGGACAGATTAGTTTTAAAATGTAGCACCAAGTCCAATTGTGAGCAGAAAATGAAACTGCCATCAGAGATTAATAAGGCCTGGGTGGGGCAAAGGAAGCCCTGAGAAGCCCAAGTCCAGAATCATGGAGCAAAAAAAGAACTGTGGAAAAGTTCTTCCATGTTTCGAATGTTTTCCTTCTATATTGATCTTATTCTGTTTAGTGGGATATATGATTAGAGTTTACATTATATATGATAGAATATATGATCATAGAACAGGTTTGTGAGCAAATAGAGGAGAAAGGGATACTAAAAGAATATGGACGGGGATCAGTAAATGAGCACACTACACTGTCAAGTTTCTCTGCTTTTAATTTTAATTTTAGCAATTCCATGTGTTGATACTGGCCTTTTTATGCTAACCAGGAATTTTGACTTGTTGTTTTGCTTCTTATGAAAGTAGGAAAATAGGTGATTTATTCTTTCATAAGTCAGTATTTTGATACATAATGTGTCTTTTGAATATTAAGAATACAAGGCAGAAAGTAACAAGAATGAATTCTTAAGATGAAAATTTGGGCATTATTCTTACAGCAAACATTGAGAGTTTACCATGACATGAACTTGTAGCACGAATTTTTCATAAACTTCTCAGCTAATCATAATCCTCACTCTATGAGGTAGGTGTCATCCTTTTGTATAGGAAAAGGAGGCTGAGGCAGGAGGATCATGAGTTCAAGCCAGCCTCAGCAATAGTGGGCACTAAGCAACTGAGTGAGACCCTCTATCTAAATAAAACCCAAAATAGGGCTGGGAATGTAGCTCAGTAGTCAAGTGCTCTTGAGTTTAATCCCCAATATCTCCCCCCCCCACCCAAGAAAGAAAGAAAATTGTATCTGAGGTTTAGAAAGGTTAGTAACTTGGTCAATGTTGGTAGTAACTTGCAAGTAACCAATCTGAGATACCAGTCCATATTAACTAACTACAAGCTCAACACTTATTTTTTAAGTAACACTCCTCTATGCCCTTTTTTAAGGCAAAGAAGCCAACTTGCTAATGCAAAATCTGAACAAGCTACAGACACCTGAAGAAAAGCTTGATTTTTTACTCAAGAAGTATGCTGAATTGGTAAGATCTTTGATTGGCTCTTTTTTTTTTTTTGATCAGCAATATCAAAACTAAAATTCATAAAAGAATTTTTTAGGGAAAAGAAAAATTGATAAATAACAGTAAAAAAGAAAAAGGATAGAATCAGAATCTACCTTCACCTATGTGTATAATTTTGGGAATGAGAGAAAAGTACAGGTAATTGAAAATCATGGATATTTTTAAGTTCTTTTAAACTTTAGAATAAAGCAGAAATATACTCAACATAAGGATAATTAAATCTTAAACTATTATTCAGTCATATCTCCAAGGAACAAAGGAAGGAAGGCAGAGAGTTGAATTAATGCTACCCCTCAGTTTATGGCACACTCTTGTCTGGTATGGCTCATTTCTCTATTTCTCCTTCTTCTTTCCTCCCCTACAATAGCAAAGTAATCGTTCCATGAGAAATGTTCTGTGCCTACTTCCAGGTCCTCCCCTGGCAGCCTTCCTCTCAACAGGGCCCCAGAATCAAGGGAAGCCAAACCAAGTTATGTAAGAGTTGTTGAATGGGCATCTTCTTCTCAGGCTTTAAAACTGGCCAATAAGAGAAAAGAGGAGGGCTCAGTGAGGGCAATATCTCTAGTTTCAATAAGAAACTAGAAAGAAATAGATTCCGGCTGCCCCTTCAACTTATCTACTCATACATATACCAAGGCCATTCTTGTTTGGTTTCTAGAGCCCCGTTCTGTACTTGGCTTTACTGGATTGAATTCTGAATCAGCACAGGATGTCACTTACAGTGCTGCATTACCACAGTAGTGTATTGGAGAAGAATCACTTCTCCAGCCTGACCAAGATTCCTCCACGAGTCAGGGTTGTTCACCTTGGCCCCAACGACCACCTGAACCCACTCATCTTCCTAGTCAAGCAGTCATCTCCGCAGAGGTTATTTGCTAGGAAATCTAACTCAATTCAAACCTTAATTACTATACTTTGGCATTTGTTTATTCTCCTATAACAAACTTTAAAACTCCAAATATCATTCCCAGAAAAAGTGAGTAAGGAAAAAAAAAATTTGCTCTCCAAAATTCATTACATTTCTTTTTCAGGATGGAAAAAACATGAAGAATTTTAATTTTTTACTTGGAGAAGAGAGCCTATTTCCTTGCTCATTAATTTGGATATTAATGTAAAAAACATCTGAAATATCATTGTTAACATGGAATAAATCATAAATTTCAAAGCTCTGAATCAAACTGACACTTTAGTTCACTCATCCTTTTAGCCTGAATCCTGTAATATTATCCACCATTGTATTCATTAATAAATAAGGGTAAGTTCATTAATAAATAAGGACACATGACTAAATTAAGAAATGGCCTAAGAAAAACAGTTTCTGCAAGTTTTTTTTTTAACTTTTAGGTAGTTAAAACAACATCATCAAAGCAATTCTAATTTAGCATTTGGTATTAATTTTACTTTTTTAAAAGAGAGATTGCAGATAAAATTCTATATGCCTGTTACGATTGTACAAAAAAACCATGCTTAGGTGCATTGTTAAATCACAAAACCCAACATTTAGCTAAGGTTGACTTAGTTGCAATATGTTTACTTTCATTTATTAAGAAGTTCCATGCATTCATATGCATTCACATAAATCTGAATTATTTCACTAAAATTATCCACATACTAATTTTTTAAAAAGATCAGAAAGTTAAGAGATTTTATATTAAAAAGAAGTTTCACTTAGATCAAAGTAAAATATATTTAAATTTTAGATTTGTATGATCTTGCAGTATAACTAAAATGGTAAATAGTCAATGAGTGAGCACAAATCATCTCTTTTCCAGCTTAAAAAATACATCCAGGGTACCTTCCTTCTGACACTCACATAAAGCTGCATAGGAGAGTGTTCTCCAAATGGGAAGTTTTGTCCATCAAGGGACAACAGGCATCTGTCTGACTTGAAAGTCAAAGTGGGATGGAATTATTAGCATATAGTGCACAGGGGCCAAGGATGGTACTAAACCACCTACAATGGACAAGATATTGCCCAATAAAAAATTATGTGGATCATTGTGTCAATAGTGATGAAGCTGAGAAGCCCTGTAATATGATTTAAACTTTAAAAGGTAGTCTAAATCATAATGGTGTTAACAATAATAACAATATATAAGTTTAAAGGAAGAATATGTCATTTAAAATTTAAATATAAGCATGAGAAATTTCACCACTGTCTAATAACGATGGTGTGACCTGAAAGAACAACATCTGTTCTGTAAACAGAAGTTTAGCATGAGAAACATAATAGAAGATCACTGCCTTTCCAAGGCGGCAATCAGTATTTTTAGTAGCATGGCTCTTGTGTTTTTCCAATGCTAATTCCCACTACTAAGTAGAAATTGCACATGAGTATGAAGGTAGAATATCAAATACACATATCTTTGGCTTAACTGAGGGTTTATATATAGTTATTTCAATGTAGGAGGAGAAAGGGAGGAAAAATCAAAATGTAAACCGAAGAAATTGTGATAGAGTGTTGTTCATGTAGCTCAGAAAACACAAATGTCTTTTCAAAAGAGGTAAACTGAGGCACAGATCATGGCTTGTGTGAAATTTGTACCCATTTGTGTCAAGCTCTTTGAGACACCAGGAACAGCTGGGGTCTAGAAGCACCAAGGGCTCTCCAGGGCTTTTCCTTTCTGCTAGCCAACAAGGTCATTATTAGGACTAGTACCTTCCTAGATTAAACTCTATTCAGACTCTAAGAGAACTGAGTCTAACTAAGCAATGATCTTTAGAAAAAGGGATGCTGCTTCAACATGACCACACCAATGGTCAGTTTCAGATTGACATTCCTAGAATCCTCCTAGAATCTGCTAGTCAGTCTCTCTCTCTCTCTCTCTCTCTCTCTCTCTCTCTCTCTCTCTTGTGCTGGGGATTGAACCTAGGGCCTTGTGCTTGTGAGACAAGCCCTCAACCAATTGCGCTCATCTCTCTCTGGTAGCTTGTAGAGTTTGGTCCCCATACTCCTCCACTGAGATAGGATTCCAAAATAATGCTTCCAGATTTTGCAAATAAAAATTCAGTGCACACAGTTAAATTTACATTTCATTTGTAACATTTTTTTTTTTTGGGCAAAAGTGTATGCCACCAGTTTTTGGGATATATTTATACTAAAAATTTATTCCTTATTCATCTGAAATTTAAATGTAACTGAGTGTCCTATATTTCACCTGTCAACCTATCTAAAATTTTACCATTCCAAGATGAAAAGAACAGGGGAAAACTGGTTTCATTTCACAAGCCACTCCTGGTAGTTTAGTTGTAGTTTCTAGAGGGGCGTGAGAAGAGCTTACCTGGGTTGGCAAATAACACGCACCATGATGTGTTTTCCGCAGGCATGGAGTGGGTGAGCAGGGATGGGTGGGGAGCAGGGTAAATTACAGAAACTTGCCTTTCATGCTGTTGAGCTGTGCACTGGCTATTCCCAATGCTATGGTGGAAAACTGTCAGTCCTTAGGTGGTTGAGGGATACTTTCTATTCTCCTCCTTCCTACACTCAAAGTCCAAAGTTATAAAGAAGACAACTTTATCTTCTACTTACCAGAAGACTACTTTTCTCTTTCCTATTTTAAAAATAGCACTGGAAGTTTGTTTTGTGAAAAACAAAACATAATCCAAGCAGACAAACTGTTGACCATTGTACGAATGCAGGTTTTGCTATGAATTCTGCCAGTTTCCAGATTCTGAGATATATCTTTCTATCTTGTCTCTGGCATCACTAAATAAACTCAAAAATATTTTTAGACCTACCAAAAAAATTCAAAGTAAAAAGATACTACTAATTATAATGTAAAACATAAATATGCTCTAAAAACTATATCTACAAATATTACAAAGGCAACATTTGTGAAGTTCATGTGTTTCCAGAGGGACAGATAATAGCAAAAAAAAAAAAAAAGAAAGAAAGAAAAAAAAGTTTCTGAACAACAACAGAATGGTCTCTAGATTTTATCCTTTTCTATCAACTGCAAAAGCATTCCTACCCAGTTTCTATTATTGTCTTTCTCATGCGTATCCCCATGCCTAGCTGGATGAACATCGCACAGAGCAAAAGAAGTTAAAGGTCCTACAAAAGAAACAGATGCAAATCCAGAAAGAAAAGGACCAATTACAAAGCGAACACAGCAGAGCTATCCTGGCTCGGAGCAAACTGGAGAGTCTGTGCCGAGAGCTGCAGAGACACAATAAGACACTGAAGGTATGTGTCACACTGGCTTAGGGGAAAAAGAACAAAGAATGACACACTTTCTTGCAGGCTATATTGACATGGGCAGTTACTACTACTTGTGAAAAGAGCATGAGTCTTAGAATCAGAGCAGTATGTTCAAATACTGGCTCTGCCATTTGATCACTTATGACCTCCAATAAGTTATTTTACCTCCCTATGCTTGTTTCCTCATCCATAAAATGGTGATTATCCCAGCTTCACCATGTGTTTGGGGAAAAATTACATCTTATGTGTGTGGCGCTCACAGACGTAACACAGTGCAGACCCTTAATAAGTGCTATTTCCCTTACCTTCTTATTTGGTTGAGTATTTTTTTGTTGATATTGTTTTATTTTGTTTTGTTTTGGGGGGGTAGTCCTAGATTACTTTAAAATATTTGTAAAAATTCTTCATTTTATTTTATAATGAATTCTGCATGACATGAGAAATAGACACAAATCTAGTTGATACAATAAAGTGAGATTGAGAGCCAAAATGTCAACTGAGAAAAGAAGATACTTGGAAAAATGCTGAGGCTCTCTGGATTTAATTATTCAATCTCAAAATAATAGACTGATTGCTTTCCTCAGACTTCATGGGTTTCAATAATTACAGCATAAGCCCCTAGCAGTGTGATTAATTCGATTATGTGCAGACACTTCCTCCATTCAATAAAACACGATGCAGGGCTCTCACGATGATAGTACTGTCTGTACCCACATTTCCCTTTCCAGAGGAAAATCCCAAAGCAGTTAACAAATGGTAATTAATTAGACACCAATGTTCCTGTGAGGTAGTTATTATTAAGTGTATTTAAAAGGAGATACCTTAAGAACTAAAGACATAAAAATCCTTGTTTAGTTTGCACTATGAGTTGGGGGTGGGGGAAGGAAAGACTAGTTGTTCTGTGTACTCCAAATTGTTTTTGATACCTGGAAATGGAAGTCCAGTGTGATGAACTCTTAACTCTCAAATGACAAGTCTGAGGAGATGAGCTTCTGGCATCTTTTCAATGATTGAACTAGGACTATCAGAAACCTAAAATAGATGGGGGCCTGGAGATGGGAACATTATCCTAGGTTTGATCAGCTTTTTCATTGCTGTGACTAAAACACCTGACAAAAACAATTGTAGAGGGGGGTAAACTTTATTTGGGAGCTCACAACTTCAGAGGTCTCAGTCCATAGGAGGCTGGCTCCATTCCTCAGGGCTCAAGGTAAGACAGCACTGCATGCCAGATGAATGTGGCAGAGGAAAGCAACTTACATGATGATCAGGAAGCAGAGAGAGACTCCACTCACCAGACACAAAATATATCCCTCAAAGGTACACCCCCTGCCAATAACCCACTTACTCCAGCCACTCCCCACCTGCCTGTAGTTACCACTCAGTTAATCCCATCAGGGGACTAATTCACAGATTGGGTTAAGAATCTCACAATCATTCTCCTCTAAATCTTCTGTAGTTCAGCTAAAGTGCCTGGGTTCAATCCCTAGTTCTAGGGAAAAAAAATACTGCAGAAAGGTATAATTAAACCTCTTCTTGCATTGTCTTACACATGAGCTTTTGGAGGACACTTTATATCCAAACCATAACCATCTTCAAGTCAATATATGTATTCCAGTGATAGTATTCTGTGTTGACATTAATTCTTCCAATTTACGGTACAATTATGAAATGAGGAGATACAACTAAATCAGATAAGGTGAAGAAACGTATCAAGAAAGAGATTAAAAGAGAGAATTATCTGGCTTGGACCCTCTGGGGAACATTCAAAGGCAGAATGAAAGAATAACAGAAACCCCTAGAGGAATGCCTGCACACCCTCAGTCATGGTTTACAATCATGGACAATAAAATTACATACTTTTATTATGCCAGGAGTTGTGCTAAGTGTTGTATGTCTGTTCTTTTATTTGATCTTCACCAATAATGCTGTGAAAGTTAATATCTCCACTGAGGAAGAAAACTGAGACTCAGCAATCCAAATCAGTTGTCCAAGGTCATGAATATTTTCAGTGCCAAAATCAGGATGCAGATTCAAAATATTTTCTAACTTCCCTTCCGACTTTTTCTTTAACCTCTAGGTTACTTACAAGTATTGTTTAATTTATATAGCCCATCATACTGTCTATCTTGATGAACATACTATGAGTACTGAATGTTAATATAGCATTCCTTAGGTAACCATTAAGTTTAGGTCATTTATGTCTTTTCTGAATTATTGTCCCATTGCTGAGCAATAGTTGTCAAAAATCTACTCTGTGGAATTGTCTTCTGCTTTTAACTTTATTCTTTCTTTATGTGTCTCAAAGAATTATATTAGATATATACACTTTTATGAATATTTTGTCTCCTTGATGAATTGACCACTTTAACATTAGAAAATGTCCTTTGGTAATAATCTTCATCTTGATATTTATATTTATATCAATATAGCCACTCAGGTGTTCTTTAATTGTTTTCCAGGGATATCTCTTTTCATTCCTGTATTTTCAACTTGGGTCTATAAATTAAAGTACATATCTTATAGATACTATGTAGTTGTAGGTATCTTGCTTCTTTTCATTCATTACTTTAATTAAAGTAATGGTCCATTAGCATATAATGTAAATACTGATGTGGCTGGATAAATTTGTAGACACCATTGTATTATTTGTTTAGTACTTGCCACCTATCTTCTGTTCCTCTGATCTTTCTCTACCTTCCTTTGGATGATTTGAATATTCTTGAAAACATTTCATTTATCTTTTGTGTTTTTTAATTATAACTTTTTGCAGTATTTTGTTGTTGTTGTTCCTAGAACTGGGGATTAAACCCAGGCACTTTACCTGAACTACACCCCTTTTAATTTTTTTATTTTGAGATAAGAATTTCACTAAGTTGTCCAGACTGGCCTTGAACATGTAATCTTCCTCACCTCAGTTTCCAGAGTAGGTATGATTACAGGCATGCAACACTGTGCCCAGTTTCTTTGCACTTATCTTCAGTACTTGCTCTGTAATTACAATCTACACTTTTAACTTTTTATAGTCTGCCTGAATAATATGTAGAAACACTGCAACTAAATATGTCCATTTACTTTCACTATGTTAAGCTATGATTGATGTATATATATATACATTATATACATTTATAAAGCCCATGAGACAATGTTATAATTTTATTTTAACCATCGTATATATTCCTTTAAAAGTTAAAGGCAAAAACTGTCTTTTTTCTTTACTTAGACATTTACCATTCTTGTCTTTCTGTCTATTATCACTTTCTTTCAGCCTGAAGAACTCCTTCACTACTCATTATAGTATAATCTTATTGGCAATCAATTCTCTTAGTCTTTTATGTTTAAAAATGTTTTGTTATTGTTGTTGTCATTATTTTTATCATTGAAGACAGTGTTCATTGGATATAGAATTCAGTGTTGATAAGATTTGTTCATGTTTTTTTTTTAAGTTTCATCCTTACTTAACTGTTCTACTGTACTCTAGCCTCCATTAATTTCTGATGGAAATCAATAATAAGTTGGGTTGTTGTTCCCTTACATGTGATATGTCACTTTTATCAGGCTACTTTCACAGTCTTTCTGTTGCTATTTGGTTTTAAGAACTTTAACCACTTTATGTCTGGGAGTGGTTTTCCTCATATATATCGGGTGTGATATTTGCTTGTATATATATTTTTTTCTCACAAAATTTTTTATATATATATATTCCTCACAAAATTTGAGTATTTTTCAGTTACTATCTCTTCTAATATTTTTGCTACTCCATTCTCTCTCTTTCACTCTCTCACCCTTCTCTTTCTCATCTCCTCTTTTTCCTCCTCCTGCCCCTCTTCTCTCTCTCTCCCTTTTGAGATCAGTTTCATGGGTGTTAGAGCACTTGATATTGTCCCACAGGTCTTTGAGTCTCTTTTCTCTTTTATCTCCAGATTACATGTTTCTAATGATCTATCTTCATATTCACTGATTCTTTCCTTTGTCCATTTCTATTCTATAAATCCATCCAGTTAGGTTTAAATTTCAGATTTAATAATTTTTAATTTCAGAATTTCTGCTTGGTTCTTTTTATAAATTATTGTTCTCAACTGAGGTTTTCCATTTTTTAAAATTCATTGTGATAGTGTTATGTCTTCAAGCATAGTCTTAATACTTGCTTTAAAATTTTCCCCTGCTCATTCTCTATCATAGAGTCATTACAGAACAGGCCTACTCTGATTATTGTTTCTTTTGAGAATGAGTCACTTTTTTCTTGGTTTTTCATGTAAGCCATTGTCAATTGTATCCTGGATATTGTGACTAATATTGTAAAGAGTCTGGATTCTACTATACTCCTATGAAGAATGTAAATTATTTTTTAACTAATTAATTTGGTCAGAATCAAATCATACTTTTGCCTCTTGGACAGCAACTAAAATTCAATTTTAGTTCTTTTTTCCTTAGCTAGATTGCTTTAATTCTATCCTGCACATGTACACTTCAGGGTCAGTCAGAGATCTGGGCAGTGTTTATTTACAGAATTTAGGGTTGTCCCTCTCTATTCCCTGGGAATCTCCTTCTTACCTTTCAGTGGCTATAGTTGTCCAGAACTCTTCACTCCTGCAGACCCGAAAGATGGTATGTTGGCTTTCTCTGGAAGTTTTTCCTATCTCATTTTGCTGTCAACTACAGTCTTCCCTCAAGCTTACAGTTATAATAACTATGAATCTAAGATTATATACAAAATTTTTACTCTCCAGTTCCTTTAAGTAGTTGTTTCTTGCATTTTGCCCAGAGTTTATAGTTGGTATCTGTAGAAGATTCAATTTGGTTTGAGTTTCCCTGACCATAATAATGAGACAGCCTCAGTACTTGAATCTAAATTTTATGTAATAGAAGCTTGGGAAGACATAGAAAGAGAATGTATAACCAGGTCTTTCTACCACTATAAATTTGAACTTTTACTATTTTTTATTAAAATTGCTTCTCTGCCATATGTGGTTGTGCCTGCCTATAACCCCAGTTACTTGGGAGGCTAAGGCAGGAAGATCACAAGTTTGAGGCCAGCCTGAGCAACTTACTGAGACCCTGTCTCAAAATAAAGTAAAATAAAAAGGGATAAGAATGTAGCTCAGTAGTAGAGTGCTTGCCTAGCATGAGTGAGAACCTGGGTTCAATCCCCGCACTGAAAAAAAAAAAAAATCCTTATTCAGTGAATTAAACACACACATAAAACCTCATAGTTTAGAATAATTTTGAAAAGACCAGTAAAACTCTGAGACATGATCTTGTTTCCATAAAATACTACCTAAGTTTAAAGCAGTAAACCTAAGTCTCAAGCTATATTGAAAACTTCTTAGTAAGAAATGAATGCTTTAAGGAACATGATTTAGGTAAAGAAATAAGTAGCACTTGTTGTCAGCATTTTGCAGAATTTTAATATGAAAAGGACTATAGGAATCAACTAGTCAAATCTACTCAGATGTCTGTACATAAATTAATCATTTACTCATTCATTAAATAAACATTTATTGCATATCTATGGATTATGTACCAGGTATGGCACTAGTTCTAAGATACACAATGAGGCCTACAAAGTTTGTTTCAGGCTTTGTCCCTCAAATTTGTTTGTACTATTGATTTTCACTTCAAAAAATGTGCTTAATAAAGAAAGAAAAGTTTGTCTAAGTCACTGTTCAAATGACTGAAAATTATTAATCAATGAAAAACTCAAATTTTAAAAGATTTCCTAGACTTACTTTTGTCTCATTGAAGAACAATATAATACAAAAATGCAAGATGCCACTTGTGGAGTGCTATGATGATTTGACATGTGTTTAATGCACTTTCAGTAGCCATCTTCTGGGAAAAACTCAAGAATTCTGGGGTAGTCTGGGATGGTTCTTTCATTTACTCATTCATTTGTGGAATGAATATGGCTGGGATATTTATAAATGCAAATGAATTCTGATCATTGATTTTAGTTCTATAATTCAAAGCTTATTGACTTGTAAATATATAAGGAGCAATGAGGTGACAATCACTATTATATGTATATTCAACTGCTCTTAACTGACAGTCATAATCCTTTTCAGTAAAATACATATAGTAAACATTAGTATATAAAACTCAGGGAAGTCATATCTCAGATGATTAATTTCTTCAGATTAGGAAGTACAAATATATTCTACAATATCCCTGAGAAGTTGTTGCTTGATACAGGTTTATGATGTGGATAAATTATTATTCAGAAGGGCTATATTAGAGTTAGGAAATGTGTTAATATTGTAAAAGAAAGATGAAATGAATTGCATATATTTTTAGGATCAGTATTTATTTTGACCACATTATTCTATCAAAATACAGATTCATGCAATTACATTTGCTAAAATAATTATTTCTTTTTAAAATTCCTATTATATAATTTGAACTTGGTAGATAACTGCCATGTAATTTTACTTGCTAACAATGAAGCAAGCTTTCATATTAACAATTAATCAGAATTGAATGGAATCCTAAAATGTCTGTATCATTTGTCAGTAGTGTGTCTCTATCTTTGGTATGATGTAGCAAGATCAAACCCTTTTATTCTAAAAGAATGAGAGAAACAATCACAAAGCAAACAATTCTCAATACAGATGTAGAGAGAATTTGGGCACACTGTTAGTGGTTAGAAATAAACAGAAAGTTCTGATTTAGGACAAAAGAACAGAAATAATATAAAATTTAATTTCCAATTCTTCAATGTTAACAAAGAGTAAAGGGAAATTATAGTTTTAATTTTAGAATTAAAGAGATTTTAAACTTAATATTACTTTCAAATTCAAAATTTACATTGAGCATTTAAATTAACCCATGTAACACATGCAATGATTGATCTTCCAGAAATAAAATATCTAGTATATTTGAAAAGATTTCCTTTTATATTTTTAAATGGCCTCCATTGAGCTATATTCATCTTAATTTATTTTTAAGCATTCTGATGAAAGGCTTCTTAAGAAAAAGTTCACATTGTGATCACTTATAAAACTGGAGTAATGAGATATGTGGTTAATTTGCCATGTTTTTTATAGACAAATGTTAAATCTACTGCTCTTCTTCCTGTACCAAACTAAAGCAACCCATGACCTGTCTCATCAATCAGTAAATCCAAGTGGTCTTTTTTCCAGGCCACAACCAAGAAATCAAAACCATGTGGCTGTGTGTTTGTCGGAAATTCCTGCCATTCATTTACTCAGTAGGAGACCCATCAACTTTAAAACAAGTCTATTCATCACCAAGATCAAATTCAATTCAAGGTCCTCACAACACCTGTTCTGAAGACTGTGTACTCACAGCTGAAACCTGTGCTCATACATTTATTTTAGGACTAAGCAACATTAGCTGTAGAGAACTGAGAAAAAAATATCCCACTTACTCTGCTCACTAGTCTCCTTTTGCTGACCTTGTCCTGAGTTCTTTAAACCTTCAGGGCTTTAAATTACCATAATAAAATATTTTGATTTTTTCCATAGGAGGAAACCCTCCAGCGGGCACGTGAGGAAGAAGAGAAAAGGAAGGAGATCACAAGTCATTTTCAAACTACCCTGACAGATATCCAGGCACAGATAGAGCAGCAGAGTGAGCGAAATATGAAGCTCTGTCAGGAGAACACAGAGCTTGCAGAAAAACTGAAAAGCATCATTGATCAGTATGAGCTCAGAGAGGAGGTAAGAACATCAAACAGTTTAGAAAAACTGTATATATATCTGTACATATATTCTGATCTGGGATGTAAGGTGGGGAACTTGGATAATAAGAAAGTTATGGTCAACTCAATTGATTAGTAGTTAGAATTGAATTTCTTTTGCTAGCCAAAATAAAGACAGATGATACAACAAAATACTTGGCTGAAAGTCATATAGGATTTCATCAAAACTGTAATTACTGCAAAGTTTAGGCAGTAAATAGAAAATGGTAAGCTTGGGCCCAGTCATCCATTGAAACAGTATTTATCAACCCTTTAAAAATCCTCTCAAGGGAGAAAAAAAAATATACACTCTCTTTTAAGAATCACCATGTCATATACATTGAGGGTCTACAGTTTACATATCACACAAGCCAAAAATAATATTAATAATTATAATATTTATTTGGTGCTTAGTTTATATCAGGAAGTGTGCTAAGTACTTTACTTTGAACATAACATGTCATTTAATTATCTCAAATTTCTTATGCACTAGAAAATAATATATTTTCTACATTTTATGTATGGAAAACAGATTAAATTCCTTCTTGTCACAAAAGCCAAGACTTTGAATTTCAGTAATTTACATTAGAAAGGCAGTAAGAATCTTTTGTTAACCCAAAATTATATTTTAATGTTTAATGTTTTTAAGACTCAGATTTCCTCTCAAGAGTATGATAATATTCCTTTCCCCACTCCAACCAAATTTTATATCTCTGCCTTAAAATGTAACATAACATAGTCAAAATGGCTCTCTGTTAACTACGTGCTAAGATTTTTTTCAAGGAAAAAACCAGCCAGTAGTATATGGTTGCAGCAGTTAGGTAATCAGGAAATTCCTCAATAAGCCAAAATGCCATGCTACTATTTTATCTTATCACAAAGATTAATTCTGCTCCATAATAGAGGTTCAGGCTGAAGAAGAAGGAAAAGAATAAAGGGGAAATATCCATACTCTTCATAGAGACCACAGATAGGAATGGTCTGGTATAATCTGTATAATCCTGGGATTGGTTCTATGTAAAGTCCAAGGCCAGAATTTCACATCTCACTGAGGTAGAATTGAAAGCTTCTCTTTATCTAGCAAGTCCAGAAATCAAAAGGTATGGAGGGCAGTAAACATCTACGTATCAGTTCATCTGTGACCCTTGGCCTTGCCATCCCCACCTGTGTTAGTTAGTTTTCTATTACTATAACAAATGCCTGAGATAATTATCTTAAAAAGAGAAAAGTTTATAGTTTTAGAGGTTTCAGTCCATAATCAAATGACCCCATTGCTTCTGGGCCTGTGGAGAGGCAGCTCATCATCATGGTGAGGAGTGCATAGTGGAACAAAGCCACTCACTTTGTGGTTTGCCAGGAAGCAAAAGAGAGAGAAGGCAGAAGGGATGAGGTCTCACTATCCCTTCAAGAACATGCCCCCAATGACTGAAAGACCTCCCACTAGACCCCACTTTAATTTTCTACAACTTCTCAACAGCACCAAGCTAGGCACTATAACTTTAACACATGGGTCTTTGGGGGACATTTCAGGTCCAAACTATAACACCACCAGCAACAGAGCAGAATTCAGGAGGCCTGGGCCTTACTCCCAGACCTAGGACCACATGTTGGTGTCCCACCACATTTTTACAACCCTTGAGACAAGAATGCAAGAATGTGAAGAATTCGCCATGATAAACTGCACTATTATGGTGTGTTTAAAGATTTTATATTCATAGAAAGAGTCAAAATTCCAACTAATATGCTGTAGCCTTTGTAGTACAGATCATTATCTTTGCTGCCTAGCATAATAAATATCATGTCAATTAGTTACCAGATTCAGAAAAATAATGTTGAGAACTTTAATCATTAACACTGCTGAACTCTGACCCCCTTACTTTTGCAGCTACCTTTGTGTAGTGTCAAATGTTGGGTGCCTTCACCACTTAACATATAAAGTTCTAAGTGATGCTAGTGATTTAGTCACCCTTTTTAAAAACAGTATAATCTAAAGAATAAGTATTCATGTGAATTATTTTTTTCTATTTTCCATTTTTAAACACCAATAATAAACCAAGCTTTCTTTATTTATTTTATTTTTGCTCAGCACCTGGACAAAATATTTAAACACAGAGAACTGCAGCAGAAGCTGGTGGATGCAAAACTTGAGCAGGCACAAGAAATGATGAAGGAAGCAGAGGAGCAACATAAACGAGAAAAGGAATATGTACTTATCCTTTTAGTTGGTGTGCATATCTGGTCTACCTTGATATCTGAGACTTTTCTAGGAAAGTTGTTTTGATAATGGTCAAAGAGCTCTAGACTGATGAAGAGCCTGGGCTTCGATGGAGAACTAAATGGGTTAGCCCAGTAAGAGGCACCATACCTGCATTATTATTCACATGAACTAGTCACTCAACAAATACTCAGCAAATATTTTTCAAGTGCCTATTATCTGCTGAGCATAATATTAGGTGCTGAGATATAGCTGTGAACAAGACAGACAAGGGCCATCTCCCATCATGCAGATTAGAGTCTGACTGGGATAAGACATGCAGTAAACAAGCAAATGAACAAGGAAGGGTAATTTCAGATAATAGTTAAGTACTATTAGGAAAATAAGGAGAAAAGGAGAGGGGTGAAAAGAGGGGGCCTACTTTAGACTGAGTTATCAGGAAGAGGCACCAGATGCTTGAGTCAAGCCCAGCCTGGTAGAAGCCACCATGTGGAACAATCTCCAGCAACAGTGTCTGCAGCATTAACAAGACCCTACTGCTGGAACCAGCCTAGCATACCCCAGAAATAGGAAAAGGTCAGGGAAGCAAGAGAATGTTGAATAAGTGGGAGAAAGGTTGGAAATGAAGTTGCAGAGATAAACAAGGGTCAAATTGTGTAGTTTTGTATAGCTTAGAAAATATATAATGGGCAAGTAGGGGGTGGTTTTAGCAAAGGAAGTGACATGGTCTGCTTTGCATCTGTAAATAATTAATTTGGCTCCTGGGTAGAAAATGAACTACAGAGGAGTAAGAAAGCATCTAAATGAGATACATGATGACTTAGATTAGGGAGGAAGCAGCCAAGACGAAGAATGGAAATGGTAAAAGTTGTTTCAATGAAAAATAAACAGTCAATGCTGCTGACCTGAAGATCATGACAGTGAGAAATGGGGAAAGTCAAAGATAACTCCATAATTTGAAGTTGAAAAACTGAATGGTGGTGTTTACTGATCTTAGTAACCCCAAGTATTCCCCAAAAGCTGTAAGATCATTCTACAGATGAGAGAATTGAATCTCAAAGAGAATATGCAACTTGTTAAGGGCACATGCTGCTAAGTGACAAAGATATGTTTCAAATTAACCTGCAGCTGTCCCCAAAAGCCCAAGTCTCTGTAACAGTGTATCATAGTCAGAGATGTTTCAAATGTATGAATTAAAGCATGTATCATTGTTGGGGAAAGAAGGAAGTTTAAGATAATTCATTTTGTTAGAATGGTAATTTTTAAATAACTTCAATTATCAAACATGACCAAAAATGATAAATTTTGAAGAACATAACCTTGTGGTCATTGGATAACTTCAAATCAGAAACCCATATTCTCTTAAGAGTGATAAGACTTCTGATCATGTAAACCCCCAGAAAGCAGGATTTAGAACAACAGCTCCAACTTCTGTTTCTTAAAATGTAATCCATGGACTACCAATATCCAAACCATGTTGGGTATTTGCTGTAGTACAGATTAGAGTCACACCCTATACTTCCTAAATCATATTCTCTGAGAAAGAATACCCCTTTAACATGTTCTCTAGGACATTTGGATGCATGTTACAAGCTCTCCAGGGACAAAGACCAAGTATATATTTCATCCTGGATCATGCATGCTGTAGTGGGATACAGGGTCCAGGAAAATTACTCTCAGTTTATACAAAGGAACAGTTACTGGCAACAATGCCCAGGTGGGGCGGTTCTGGAGATTCTCAAGCAGAGATTAGTAATAGTTGGAAAGGATTGTTAGAAAAGCTTCCAGAATTTGAGGGGAGGCTAAATTTTTTTGTGATTTATGCTTGAGTTAGACCCCCCTTTTTTTTTTTAAATTAAAACCACTAGGTTTTTTTTTTTTAAGAGAGAGAGAGAGAGAGAGAGAGAGAGAATTTTAATATTTATTGTTTAGTTTTTGGCAGACACAACATCTTTGTTTGTATGTGGTGCTGAGGATTGAACCCAGGCCGCACGCATGCCAGGCGAGCGCGCTACCGCTTGAGCCACATCCCCGCCCCAAATCACTAGTTTTTAATTGAAAAACAATCTATCTAGCATGTTCTTTTAGCTTTCTTAGATTTTTTACAAAGTTCCAGAAACATGAAAGAGTTAATAAGACAGAAATTAAATTTTATATACAAATTATAGTTAAAGGATAATTTTAAAAACAATTTGACATTCTTTCCATGCATTCTTTCTTCTCACAGTTACTGAACCAGGCAGCAGAGTGGAAACTTCAGGCCAAAGTGCTGAAGGAACAAGAGACAGTGCTACAGGCTCAGGTGAAGTACATGCATTGTGTGTCCTCTCCTTGCTGGTCCCAAGAGACTGGGACCAAAGGTAGTCTGCAGAACACTTCACAAATACAGGAGACTGAGGGACAAGAGTTGGAAATGAATACCCTCTTCACATTTATTGTTTTTAGTAAAAATAAAAGTATAGGATTATGTTTATGAAAAAGAAATTCTCTGTACCAATAACGTCCAGATAAAACATTTACACAGACAAAGGATGATGGTCAAATGTTCACTCAAAGGAAGCTGATGCCCAAGTTCCCACCCATAAGTGCACATTTCTTCTCTCTTTCCTTCCCTATTATCCAAAAAAGGCAAAAAGAAAATGTGAACATTTCAGATGCACCATTCATATCTGCCAATTCTTAAAATGTTCTCATCTTTTGATGTTATTTATAATACAAGGAAAATGAGATAAATAGAGTGAGCACTCAAGTTTCTGTACTACCAGGGGTGGCTTTGTCAGTGGTGAATGACAAGCAGTGACAAGCAAGTTAGGAGCCATTTGGATTTGCCTCATGGTGCCATTCATGTTTTGATTAGACCACTGGAATTCCTATGTCAGGCTCAAAAATAAAGCCTCCCATCACAGCTGCCTCTGGAGGAAAGCCAGGCCTGTCCATCTTCCCTGTTACCTTTGGGGTTCTGCAAATATTTCCTGACAGTTTCCAGAACCATCCTGCTATTAGGCACAGAAGGGCTTCAGCTCTGCTGCTGGGAGAAATGCCCGATGCTAAAAGGACTATGAGATCACAGAACAAATTCAGAGGGTGAGAAAATTAGAAGCCTTACATGTTAGGCAGTATTAATTTAAGATTCATACATGTTTATGTGCTGACTATAAAAATGCTCATTCATTATAAAAAGAAAACTTATTCATTGCATGAATAAACAAGTCTGATGAATACTTTGTCACTGTGAAAGAAAAAGAAACTTAAAATAACAAATTATACCACTTCGTAAACAAAAACACAATAATATTTTCATATCTAGTCTTTCTAAAGTGTCTTCTACATATATATCTATGTACAGAGAAGGCAATAAGGAATTGTTTTACCCAGTATGATATATTCTCTGAAATATATAAGAATGGTTTAAAATATTAATTACATACAAGTTGGGAACATCATGTTTCTGACTTTAATAGAATCCAAGGGCCCAGTGTTACAAACTTAAGATCATCCTTGAGGCAATGACAGAACCTATAAGATAACATAGTGTAGAGAGATGGCAGCAGTGACAGGTCTCTAACCAGGAGGAAGGAAGTGTGACCTTAATGTCTAGTGATGGGGGATCCCAGAGAATAGAATCAGTACTTCTTCTCTATCACTGCCTCATTCACAGCACAGAGTATAAGAGGAACAGTGAACAATACTTGAAGCTATATATTGTTCACATCACCTATTACATGTAATCCCTACTCTTCTCTGCAAAATGAATATAAGGAGCTTTAGAAGAGTAGATTAAATTCTGGATTCTGGGTTAGAGAATGATTCATTCAACTGGCACCAGTAGTTACATTTTCAATGAGTGCAGTAAAAATAGACAGGTGCAATCCAAGTTTCCTAACCACACAACCACAAACTTGAAAAAGCATCCATCAGAGGTTCTAGATTTGCCATCGTCCCCCAGTCCTGGACTGAGTCCAGGCACCACAGTCAGAGTCCTGGCTCTTCTACAGAGAAGCTGCGTGACCCTATGCAACTCACCTAAACCTCTCTGGATCTAAATTTTCTTCTATGTAACATAAAGATACCATAATGAGTATGTGATCTGTAACTGAAGTCCTCTGACCTCTGAGAGCTCATTACTTTTTAGTATTTCCAAAATAACAGCACATGAAATAGCAGCTATAGACTAAAATGTAATTGGTTTAGACATCATATCAGCTCTTGCTCTGTAACTGTGGATGGCAATAATTCATATATATAAATTTTTAACAGAAAAACAAACTAGTAGATATACAGATATAAGTACTTAGTAGATATAAGCAGCTTGTTATCAAATTATGTATACAAAACAGTTCAGTGACTGGTCCATAATAAGCATGATTAATTCAACTAATATTTATTAAGCATCTCTAAATGCTGATCATGGTTCTAGGTGTTAGTAACATAGTTTGTGATCAATAAGACAGATGAAAATCTCTGCCTAACCAAACTCACAATCTAGTGATAATAATGCTATAAAATGCTAATTTTTGATTAGCACATGAGCCAGTATGTTTTATCAGAGGTAGGAGTATATGTATATGGAAATATATAAGACATAGGGAGTCTTCAGTAAAAAAAAAAAGAAGAAAAAAAACACTCAACTGATCTCAAGATCCTGTTCAGCTCCAGTTCATGAATGTAAAGAACTTCCAGAAATGAAGAAGTATGGCCCTAGATTAAGTTAACCCTGCCTTCTATGATACCCAGATTCCCACAATGCAGGCAGCCTTGTTTGTTACAAGGACTCTCTTCTGTCTTTCTCTTTTTGTCTCCAAAGCATATTCAAACTTTCAATAATTACCTAAACACCAAGAAGAAAATAAAGGCACCTAAATCACTGTGTATAATAATGTTTAAACAAGTCATCCAGAAGTATCAACATTATCATTTTTAAAATTTTTGGTGGGTGCAGTTGTACAACTGTACAGCTGTAGTCTCAACTACTCAGGAAGCTGACAGGAGAATCACTTGGACTGAGGCAAAAGGATCATTTGTGGCCAGCCTGTTGGACATAGAAAGATCCCGTCTCAAAATAAATAAATCTTTTTTTAAAAAATTATAGTTGTAGATGGACAGCATACCTTTATTTTATTTGCTTATTTTTGTATGCAGTATTGAGGATTGAACCCATTGCCTCACATGTGCTAGGCAAGTGCTGTGCCACTGAGCCACAGCTCAGCCCCTCAAAATAAACAAATCTTTAAAAACAAACTCTACCACAAATGATTCTGCATAGCACTCAAGCACTTCCTTTGGTTTTACACTCTCCTTAGAGGGGTGAGAGTACAAGAGGCCAGGGCCTTCATCCCCATTTCTAACGTCTGAGCAAGAGAAATAACAAGGATGGATTATGTTGTTTTCCTAGACTAAAGTCACTTTTCAGTCATGAGACAACGGCTGGCCAGCGGGGAGCATGATTCTCACTTAGGGAAGAGATGTCTGGCTTTCACTTACATAAACCAAAGCAACAGAGAAACTGTCAGAGATGATCAATGGGATACAATTGTCACTATAAATGAAGTGTTCATTAGATCAATAAAGACAAAGGCAGAGAGTAAGTTAGCAATATCTGGCAGAACAGACACAAAATATCACCTGAGGGGGAAAGATTAGTGAGTAAATTGTTAAAAATGTATAATCATAATCTTTAAAATTCCCTTATCTATATAGAATAAGAAAAGGGTTGGGTTGGGGTTGTAGCTCAGCAACATAGTGCTTGCCTAGCATATGTGAGGCACTGGGTTCGATCCTCAGCACCACATAAATATAAAACAAATAAAATAAAAGCATTCTGTCCATCTACAACTACAAAAAAAATGAATGAATGAATGAAAAAAAGAAAAGAAAAAGAAAAAAAAGAGGGCACTCTGAAATTCCTCTTGTAATAGGACTTTCTCACATAGAAGATCTCACAGGTTTGGTAAGGCCAATCCTGGGTACAGTTCTATTTCCTACACTATAAAAATGTTTGTAATTACAATTCAGTGCTCAGTTAAAAGAATGTGTGAGTCCCCTGGCCCATTTAAAAGTGAAATATTGAGGCAATTATTGTTACTTCTAACTGTAGAGCAGTTTGTTTTTATTTTCTCTGGCAGGAAAAGTACTGCATATGACCTCTGGACGTCCTTTCCATGTTTTTCTGAAATCCCAGAGTGAGAGCAGGAACACCATAAATCAAACTAAACATGCATCATGTCAGTATAATAGTCAGAGGGAAAATGCTATCAGATAAGTATCTATTAAGGAAATAGAAAGTACAAATTTTTAGTTAGTATATAAGAAGATAATGCTAAAGCTCTTCACCTGAGAAATATATAATCCACAAAGGTTTTGCTACCTGTAACAAAGAGGTCAAATAGGAAGAAAAGCACCGTATTATAAAGACTGGTCACCAGAAGGAGGAAATGAGGAGTTATTCAATGAGTATGAGATTTCTATTTTGAAAAAAGAAGTTCTGGAGACGGGTTGTACAACAATGAGAACGTACTTAACACCACTGAACTATACATTTAAAAATGTTTAGGATGGTAAATTTTATGTTACATGTTACCACAAATTATTTTTAAGAGAAAATAAAACAAAAACCATAACTAGGAGAAGCTCAGAAAGTGGTGATAAGTAAGACCCTCTTCTTTGTACTTTGGGTATGTCCATCTTCATGTCACAAGCCAACACTTAGAAAACAAAGATAAGGAAGGAACATCTGCCGAATTAACACACCAAAAAGAACATTCTGGATGGTTGGTTGGTTGGTTTGTTTTCCCTTAGAGCCTTTACTTTGAGACTATGGGTGGAAAAAAATTCTTACAAGTACACATGGAAAAAGTAAGACATGATTATAGTTAAGTGAAGACAGTCTAACCAAAACTTTAATACCTGTCAGCTAATGTTAAGGGTGATGTTCTGGGTGTATAATTTTTGATAATTGTGTCAAGATTGTATGTAGCAGTTGGACCATGATATGCTCACTCCTGCCCTTGCCTGTCTGTAGTCTGCAATTACAGCAAAACCTGCTCAGAGTTCTCAACCATAGTTTCAGAGACTCCTATGTAGTAATATGTTGGAAAAAGAGTAGAGGAAAGTAAGAAAAATAAGTTAATAGGAGGGTATTGTCCAATAATGCAAATGAATAGACTTTGTAATAAAAGATAACCAGGATCCACTAGAATACATTGTTCTCACTATATACCATGGGATAAAGTGCAGTGTAAGTAGCCAGAACCACAAGAGCTTACCCTAGGCTATAGTGTCAAACTAAGAACCTGTCTGACCATTCTGGGCCTTCAAATCAATTCAGTGGATACCAGCCACTATTTTGAAAAAAATGAAACACAACTAAAGAGAATATGTCAGAGTATACTGCATGTTATAAGAGTAAATATCTTATGCAAGGCATCTTCTTGGCCATAAATTCCTTTTATTTCATGGCTCTTCACTCAGTCTTCTATAATGTGTAAGCCAAGGAATCAAAATAAACAAATTTTAGTCCTGTCATAGATTCATAGGGCTAATGGATGATTTCAGAATAATGGTTGCTTGACTTATTTTTTTTAATTTGTGTCCTGTGGAAAGGATTTATTAACATTTTGTTGTTGTTTACTGCACTGAAACCTATATTACTCTAAATTATTTGGGAATAACGCATCTTAGATAAGCAATTTTCTGTACTCTTGGGGTTGTTTGACTCACACACACACACACTCCACCCAACACCACCTTCAAGACAGAATTCTCCAGTCTGCTGCCTTTGGATGTGTGTGCTCTTCCCCACTTTAAATGAAAATCTCACAGATACCACCAGCTGGTCACCTGGTGCCTTTCTTTTGGTCAACAACCTTGCCATTCTGGCCATCAAGTGCAGCCCAAGACATTTGGTGCCATTTGAGAACCTGAGGATGTTCTGGACACTCAAGAGTACCAAATTTGAAAATAAAGACTTTGCTAACTTGAATCATCCATACTAAATCTCTCTTCACTCAAAGCATGCTATCTTAATATTGTTTTCAAAAGCAAGATTTTTAGTATTTTATTATTATCACTAACAACCAAGTATTTACACTCTTCTTCCCTGTGCTGCCCCATTCCCATCCCAAATGTAGGTCTTGAAATTAAGGGTGTAAAGATATAATAGCTCTCCTCACTATCCCTACTGTGGATCACACACTCAGGAATGCTACATGATGCTTTTGGGCAAATTAAGGGGAAAAAAATCCCTTCTTTAAAATGCATTACTTCTATTGTAGAAAAGTGGCATATAAACTTATTTGGATGGAAAGGGGCATTTTTAACTGCTGTTGGCTAGATATCATAGTTTTGTATATTCAGAAATATGCAAATACATAAGGACTACTGCCATTATGCAGGTTGTGGATAACTGTTAAGAAACTGCCATTTGTATATAATATTTATTTATGTATGTGTGTGTGAGTATGTGTGCGTATGTGTAAGTGTGTATATATTTATTTATTTACATATACTTATGTAAATAAAATGTAAATAAAATATTATTTTATTTACATATACTTACGTAAATAAAATAATATTTTATTTACATAAGTAAATATAAATAAATATATCTGAATATACAAAACTATGATGTCTAAAACAGAAATAGCAGTTTCTTTTTTTTTTAAAGAGAGAGAGAGAGAGAATTTTTAAAATATTTATTTTATAGTTTTTTTTTTGTTTTTTTTGGCAGACACAACATCTTTATTTGTACATGGTGCTAAGGATCGAACCCAGGGCCGCGTGCATGCCAGGCGAGCGCGCTACTGCTTGAGCCACATCCCCAGCCCAGAAATGGCAGTTTCTTAACAGTTATCCACAACCTACATAATGGCAGTAATCCTTGTTCATGTCCCACCATACTTCCTTTTTCTCTTATTTTCATTTGTCTACATTCTCCCTGCTTTAAGATCACCATCTCCACAAACACATGGCTTACAAGATAACCTGCGACAAATCTCTGATCACCTACTGACTTGACAGTTAGTCAAGCTATCTTTAAGAATGAATTTCCTTTAGGAGTACAGATGCCTCAAAAGCAGAATCTACATGTTAAACACTTCTGTACATATGATCCATGCATATGTTTGGGGCTCAATAAATGTTTGGTAGTAAAAGTTATGATATCATGAAATAGTGACAACATATTTTATTTCATTTTTCTTTAAAGAAACTCTTCAGTCATGCTCACTGACCTAGATTGATTTTGTAGTAAATAACTTAACATATGACTGATGCTGAATTGAGAATTCCTTTAAGTCATTTTTCTTCTCAAATAATGAACAATGTCATGTTTTTTTATACTGCGAACATTTAAAAAGCAGCCCTGAAATAGATGCACTCTTTTCCTTGTTTACAGCTTACTCTCTACTCTGGAAGGTTTGAAGAGTTCCAGAGCACGCTTACAAAAAGCAATGAAGTGTTCGCCACTTTTAAGCAGGAAATGGATAAAGTGAGTATTATTTATCATCCATGAAATATTGACAGTTTCTATTTTGACAGGCAATTCTCCTTTGGGTTCATTTTTCTCCTGCTAAGATATTTCAGTGCATTTCATGAAGTAATGAAATGTTTATAGAAGTAGGAATGAAGTTTGGGCTTTTTTGTGTGTGTTTGTGTAGTAATATCCGGGGAATTAATCTTTGTAAAAGTCCAAAAATGCTAAGATACATTTATTCTGAGGAACAATATTTCTTTTTCTTCTCTAGTATTAGCTTAAAACAAAAACAAAAACATAACAACACAACAAAAAGACAAACTCCAACACTATGTTGTGTGTGTGTGTGTGTATTAGAATGTTAGAGCAGAAAATACTATTTATTGATATTCTTAGAAGGAGAGATATGTACTATGATAGAGGAAGAGCCATGAATGAGAAGACAGAAACCTGAATTAAAATTCTAGGTCTGGGGGCTGGGATGTGGCTCAAGCGGTAGCGC